AACAAACAGAAATGTCATGATTTGTATTCATACCCATTCAAGCCATCTCCAACCATTATTAGTCTCAAATTGGGTTCTTCATCATCAAATTATGCAAATTTGATGGATGGGCACAAGTATCAATCAATTTCAAACAGGTCATGCATGCTTACGAAAGCAATGCATTTGATCAAATTCACAAGACTGTAGTTATCAGTTACACCAACATTCCCTGGTTTCACAAACCTCACTTATGTGGCCATGGTTTTATTCCTATATCAATTGTGTCAGTTGAGTGAAGATTTAATTATCAAACACAAAACAAGGAGAGAAGAATCATTTGGGCAAAAATTTGATAGCAAGCCTGTTACAGCTAGCAAGAGGGTTGAGTGAATTTTACTTCATTGAAGCCAGTAATACTTTTGCAGAACTGGCCTTAGCCAAAATGGTGCCCCAGGTGAAATAAGCATTTGTAACCCTGAACATTTCCTACATATTTTATCCCCTTTATTCAATTTTTTTCTCTTCGTTGACTTCACATGCCAGATTTTCAACATTTTCACACCAGTTCAACTATATTACTGACAAAATGGCATATATATGCAACTTATGTAAAAATAGGACTTTAAGAATCATAGAGAAACTAATGGGCACTTTTTAGGCATTCCCTAAAGATTGTATTCATGTAATCGGTAATTTTTATGAGGGGATTTTTGCACCCCCAGGGTAGTTGTACCCCAGGCAATTGCACATTTCCCCCAACCATAGGGCTGGCCCTACTCTCAGGTATCTGTAAGTGTTTTGATAACAAGTTTTTTTGTTTTTTTGTCATTCATTAATCAGGGACAATAATTTTGTGGTTAACATTAAATATTGATCAGTTTTTGTGACCTGACAAGTGTTTACTTTCATTGAATGTACTAGGAGTGAACATTACTTTCTCTGGTGACCTTAATAAATGGCTTGGCATTGCCAGGTTGTTAGGGTGCTTTACTCACAAGCTGCGGATCGTGAGTTTGAATCTCTGTCCCAAACAAGCTCGCCCTTTTAGCCATGGGGGCATTATAATGTGACGGTCAATCCAACTATTCATTGGTAAAAGAGTAGCACAAGAGTTGGCAGTGAGTGGTGATGACTAGCTGCCTTCCCTTTAGTCTTTCACTGCTAAATTAGGGATGGCTAGTGCAGATAGCAGTCTTGTAGCTTTGCGCGAACTTAATAAACACTTGCTTACAAACATGGTCAGTGAAAAATGTTTGATCATCAGGTGGTTTGTGAATTTTTCTGTCTGAAAATAATGTTTGAATTTGTTATGGCCTTATTTTAGAGGAAAGGAATTAACCAACATTAAATTTTGTGCATATTGTTCTCGTATCTGAGAATCTTTTCGATATAGTTACAGTCTGTTAAAAAGAATTATTATTTTTTAGACAAATGTAGTGATGTAGAGTGACAGGAATTTTTTTAACTAAAAAGATTGTATCACATTATTCCAACTACACATATGTTATTGGCCACTCATAAACAGCTTGGTTACAACATCTGGATTTTGGGTTCAGATGCTACTTATACCAATTATGTATATAACATTAACTCGTATGATGTATATTGCTAACATTGGTAGATCATAATGTTTCTTAAGACAGTAAGTGTGGTGATACAGGAAAACATTGATAGAATTTTTTTAAACCCCTAAACTAGCTCATACAAGTATCCTATGAAACAGTGGATAGTTTTTATGATTGGACCATGTTATGTAAAGTGACATCTCAAGCTAAAACTTTATTTAGTGCATTATCTTGACTGGAGTTAGTACATTCTAGATCAGAACATAAGAAAACGTTAAATTTTTATGAATATGAAATGTATATTTTAGGAGAGTCATATTTATGGTATTTGTGATAGTTTATTAAAATTTATCACTATATTTAGGATACCTCTTCATGATTGTATAGTTTTGCTATTAATGGGAAGTAGAAGGATTTGAAAATCTGGTTTATTGTGGCTTAAAATTAATATCTCTCAGCTCACAAAACTTACACTGCATTAAAAAATGTATAACTTCAAAACCAAATATAATCTTTTTTTTATTATGAAAGTATATTGGTAAAAACCTAAGAATTTTTATTGTCATTTATGTAATATTCATTAGGCCAGGGAGAAACTTCTTGTGAATCGAATGAGGATTGTACAGGTAATGCTGTTTGTGACCAGAAAGGTGGAGCCTGCATTGGTAAGTTTCACTTGTATATCTGGAGAACTTAAAATGAATAGAAGTAATAAATATATTAATTATAAAATGTTGTGTGCATATATATACACACACACAACTGTTGTATATTTATATCAGACTGAATCTTCTATAACAGTGTAAGTGTGCAAAAACTATTGTACTAGCAACTTTAATAAATTAAAACAGGCAATTTATATATTCAGATATTTATTGATAATGAAAGTGATTTAATTTATTAGTTAAAAGTTTGTTAGACTTCATCATTTCCAATATATATATATTATCCACTATTAGGATACATTTCCTATTACTTCTTAACTGATCCTAATGCTAAATTATTTTTCAAATAAATCTTTTACCCTGAAGATTCCTGATGCACAGCTTGTTTGTCATATATCACGTAATGTTTAGTTTAACCTCCTTTATTGTTGTAGAAATTCTGCACACACACTTTGTTTAAAATAAAATGTCTGCCTCAAGATATTTATGCTTACAGAAAATTTCTGCTTCTCACAGATGGCTTCACAGCTTAGCTGTCATAAATTGATTGCTGTTCTTGTAACTACTTTAAGTTGTATGTCTGAAATAAATATATTTTTGGACAGATCCTTGCTCCAGCTCTGTGTGTGGACAAAATGCATATTGTGCTTCTGAAAATCATATAGCTACTTGCATTTGCCATCCAGGCTTCTCTGGTGATCCATATGATGAAACTAAAGGCTGTGTATCTTGTAAGTACATGTCTTCCTGACATTATGATGTTTAAATATTTGCTCATGTGTATTTTGGTATTTCTGAAATTAGATTCAGAAATTTCTGTATTTAACTTGAGTGTAGAACAGCAAACATTTTCTAGCTTATAATATTTTCTTGCTGCTTTATAACAGCTAACACTCAAACCAAACTATTAGGTAATAGTTTTTCTTAGTTTGAATGTTTTTTAGATTTTTTAAATTATGAAAAATTTCTAGTATTTATTAAAATAAGCAAATCAGTAATGATTTTGAAGAGACATGTGTTTATACAAAAAAATGAATAAAATTCAAAGTGCACAATCCAACGGACAGTTTGATATTCTGTATATGTACACTTGTCAATATTTACTCATTATTACTTTGAATGGAAGAAGTGTGGTATTAATAGATAAAACAAGAACAACAAGTAAATTATATGCACCACAGTAACTGGAGGAATGTAAGAATAATTTATCAGTACGAATAAAGTACATGGGCCACTGAAGATGAAAGGCTTCATTTTTTGTTTTGGATTTCTGAGCAAACCTTTAAAATGGTTTTGGAGCTATGATGACTTCACTCCTGGCCTGGGAAGATCCTGGCTGCAGCTAAACCTTTTGGTCCCCTCAAAACTACAGACATAATCCTCAATATTTGCAGTGAGAGGCTCTGGTCTAGAAAAAAACATCTAGACTGCATCACATTCACCATACCTAGGATCACATCACTTTGCCTGCTCTCTTCACCACAATTTTTGAGGAAAGGGTCTTCTGTGATGATGATTTAACAGTCTTAACAGTAGACAGAGAAATCACACAAAAAACAGAGAATTATGTTCAATGTAAAACTCTGCAACAACAAGTACCTGTTAATAGTATCAAAGTGCTAACTTTATGACTTAGTCTGTGGTATTTGTAGGTGAAACTAGAACCAATAGGAAAGTTACAAGCTCCATAATCAGTTTTGCAGGGTATCAAATCAAGTACAGTAGTAAAAAATAAGACTGAACACTGTTGTTATGAAACAAACAGTGAAAACAATTAATATCCTTATTGAGGTTTAACAAAAAAATTAATGTAGTTTTGTGCCTTCTCTCAACTTATTTATGGCACATCATTGGACATAGTTAGGTTGATTGGCTTCTGTTCCTGTTTGGGATTTGGAAGAAAGGAAAACAACTAGTTAAATATAATAAAAATGTGTGTATATTTTGGAAAATTTTATCAAACACATCTTGAGTAAGATACATTCATATACTAGTTATGAAATAATTTAAAATTTTATTAATATTCAACTGCTAGAGAAGTTCTAAAATATTTTGATTAAATCATAAAATTGTGAATACTCAGAGCCATATTGTGCAGCTGTTTTATATTTTAAGATACCATGGGTTTATTATAAATTACACTTACAAAACCCATAAAATAGTTATTGACAGGTATTTGCAAATATCTTAAAACTACTCCTTTGTACAGAACTTTTACCTGGGTTTATATTGGTTAATTGTTATTAAAATAGTGATGATGAGCATTAGACAAGTTAGTCACAGAGTTTGATAAATCTTTAAAATCAATTTATTCTTTACAAAACTTAACTAGTGCTTATTATACATTTCTTTATTAGTGTATCTTGTTTATGATTTAACTATTTGTAAATATCTCGAAAGTGCATTATAATAGGTCAACTTTGTTTGCTTTTTAGCTTGCACAGGAATCAGGTGTAGCCAGAATGCTCATTGCATTGTTAGCAATGAAAACCAAGTAGTTTGTGTCTGTCAGGAAGGCTTTACTGGAAATCCTTGGGCTGGAGGACAGTGTTATCCAGGTTGGGAACTATACCTGTATTCAGTTTTTTTTCTTTCTTATTGAAAAAAGTAGCCAAGTTTGAGAAAATTAAAAACCAATTAGAATAGCTGCTGTCATTTCAAATAATTGTTGTATAATAGATTATATTGCAATTTTTCAAAGAAAGAGAACATTTCATAGATAGATTTATTTTTTGCTACATTTATAAACTGAATGAAATGAAGTTTTTTCTAAACTAGAAAAACCTGTTTAAATGTGGCAATTCATAGTATAATTTATTTTGAAAAGCAAGGTCTAAACTTGATGTCATGATCTGACTGTCACCATGAATAGTATTGCATATTGAACAGGAAACAAAACTTGTAAACTTTATGTATCATAAAATGGGAAATAAAAGTAAACTAAATTTGATGTATATATTAGTGTAAGCTATTATATTTATTTATGCACACAACTAGAATTTTACCATAGGCACATTGAAAATGATAAGTTTTATTCAGAAAAGATTGGTCATGGTAGATAGTTATTTAATTTGGTTTCATTCATCTTAAGTCAGCATTTCAAGTCCATCTCTAAATGAGACTACTGCAAGCCTTGTGGTTTTGGACACTGAATATTGTACTTTGCAATATCCTGCACAATGACTTACATCTTATTCAAATATCAAACCTTGTATTGTGGAAAACAAAAGAGAGAAATAGAAGCAATGCTAGTTAGCAAGACAAAATATTTAAATGTGCAGTATATGGTAATATGATTTTGAAACACCCTTTACCATTTATAGACTTATCTAAAATAAACTTATGATCATTTGTGTGCCTATTTTGAAATTATATTCACCTATAACAAGTAGTTTTTAAGATAAAGTACTTTATATCATTAATAAAAGCTTGGCAGCAGTTTGTTGGTTGTTCACAGTGGACTTTTTTTTTTACAGAACAACAAATTGCTATAAGCTTGTACTAGTCTTATCAGGTACTTTAGACTTAATTTTCTTGCATTTTATCTTGTTTTAGTCTTAAAGATAATAATTTTAAATGTGAGGTTTCTTCGGACTTTCTCTATGCATTTAGTACAATTATATGTACATATAATTTTTTTTTTCAGATGTAAGATGCTCAGTGAACCAAACATGTTCTCCATCACAGGATTGTAGGGATGGAGTGTGTGTAGGTAAGTGCTTACACAAATTAACTGTTCATAGATCTATAAAAAGCCATTCTAACTGCCTACATCTACCATAACACTTATGTGTGAGATGTGTGTTTATGTACATGCAATGTGCACTTGAAGGTGGGAGTATGCCAGTGGTTTAAATACGTCTAGGTCTACAGCTCTTTGCTTATTGAACAACTAAAATTTATATATCAGTATCAAAATTCTTTCAAAGAGCTATTACTATGAAAACCGTGTATGTAATATACCTATAAAATAATATTTCAATACTTATAAATACTGAAATATTTTAAAACTGTGAGATTTCAGATAATACATACTTTGGTATTAATTTGCTGATATTTCTTTTATTTTTTCCAATATCTATTATGGTACTGTAGAAATTTATTGCTATTCTTGTCTTTCATGTAGCTTATTTGAAAAGAGTTTTATTTCAAACTTATTTAAATTGTTAAAATATCATAGGAAATCTGATTTAATTTTAATCGTATTTTATTAGTGCCTTGTATCTTTTTAATGTGGCTATACAGTAAAAATTGTATTTCATTTTTCTTTACTTAGTCATGGCCAAGTAATTGTTATTAGGTTACGGATTATATAAGTAACAAAATATTAAACATAAAACGAAAGTTTTGCTGTAAGAAGTGATTATTCTGTCACATCAGCTAGATTTTTTGAAATTCCCTTTTCTTGAGCCATCATTTTGACACTATTTGTCTAAGATATGAACAAACTAAACATACACTTCAGCCTTTGATAGGTTCTAGTATGTAAAATATAATAAAATAAATAAAAAGTTAGCTAAATAAGTCAATTTATTGAGGAAAAACGGAATTGTTAAATTTTTTATGATGTTATTTTAATGTCTTGGACAACTAAATAATTGTACCTTTTGGAAATTAAAAAATACAGAATCATGTCTCAATTCAAACTTGAAATAATAGTAGTATTTAGAATTTATAAATTGATATACAATTCTAAACACTACTATTATTTCAAGTTTGAATTGAGACATG